TAGTCTAATAAGTAAAATTGTAACTAATTCACCTTATTTACGAATAGTTCTCTATGAGTAGGGTTTTGGTTAATTTTTCCAAAAAAAAAGTAATAATAATAATTATTTTAAATATAGTAGTATTTATGAATGACAATTATACCCCTATAGCCTTAGTTATTATTATCATTGTATCCCTTGTAACTTTAATTTTTCCTTATAAATATAGAACTTTGATTCTTAATAAAACACACAAGTTTATTAGCTTCTCTATTTTGTTATCTCTTTTCATAACAAGTTATCAGCACAATTTTCTCAAAATCAAAGTGAATTAGTTAGAATACATAATTTTTAGGATCGTGCTACAGATGCATAAATATTTACATAATGGATTACATAATGCCACATGGCATTCTACCATTTGTCAATTTAAAATACAATCAATTTTTTCATTCAATCTTTTCCCTCCACATCATATTATATAATCCATTATGTATATTTTTTTTGTACAAATAGCAAAATTCTAATTTTTATAAGTATAATCATCTGTTACGTGTACCAAAATTAATTTGGTAATAATTGAAATTTTTTTATATACACATATACATATAGAGAGAAAATAATACATATAGATTCTCGATTGCTCATTAACGTTTAATTCTCGAAAGAATGTAAATATAGTAAATTGGTAAAGTAATTACAATAAATTCTAAATTTATTTGCTCTCTTTTCCATAAATATTTATACATAGCACAGTTATATCACGTGTGTCATATGATTACAACAATACATACAAATATATTGGACCATTGAAGCGGCCTTTTTACTCTTTGCCGACTCTCCAAGTACAAATTTATCATCTTTAGTTTACTCTTCCTGGAATTTTTGTGACGAATAAACGAGCTCACATTTTTATTGAGAACAATTGTGATTTCTTTTTTTACCTCCTTGCTTAAATGCTTGCTTGAGATCCGAACTAAAGTTGAAAATGTTTAAGTAAAATGAAAAGACGATATTTTTTAATTATTTTTCCTTTTTCTTAATATAATCAAATATTTTTTTTTATGTTCCTATATAAACACTAAAGTCATAATTTTTTATATTATTGCTCTTGAAGAATCATAACTCTACAAATATATTCTACTAGAAAACATACTTTTGAAAAGTTAATTTTTTAAATAATAATTTATTGTTCCTGAAATAGCACAATATTGTTAATATTCTAAAACAATATTATTGCTTCTAAAGTAACACATTATTATTGATTTTAGTTAGATTTTACTTACTTTTGAATAGCATAATTAAATGAAATCTAACATAAATTATGTTTTTATTCCTCAAGAGTAAACCCTTATATAATTTATTATAATAATATTTGATTGCTAGTAAAGAGTATGAATTATAATTTTCAATATTTCAGAAGAATATTGACATATTACTATAAAAAAAATAAGAATAAAATATAAAGTGATCTAAGAGTAACACACTTTTTGAAGAATTATATCTCGTTGTGTAATTAAAAAAATACAAATTAAACAATTAAATAATGATTGTAATTAAAAAGGATATTAATTTATGGCTTCAGAAGAGCATACAATTTGATGTTTCAATATTCTCAAATAATATCATATTCGTGCTTCTGGAAAATTGTATTAATGCGATACTAATAAATTATGGATTATTAAGATATATGTTTAACAGATAGTCCAACTATACATACAATTCTTCAAGATAAAAGTACCTAAAATCTAAATTAACAAAAAATAATGTTAATGCGATATCGATGCATCGAGTGTTGTTGAAGATCCGGAAAAGTTTGTATTGTTTTATCAAATAATACAAAAGTATATACTAACAGTAAATTTTATTCTAACAAATTTAAAAGAAATTTATTTAGTTTGAAAGATATCCACACTAATGGATATCACATTGAGATGATACAATAAAATAATATAGAATATATTGGCATAATTTCTTTTGTATATAGCTGGAAGCAAATATAAAAAAAAAAAAAAACAAACTCTCAACATTCACATCTAGAATAGATTACGTATTCAAATGATTTAAATCAAACATTATTACAAACTCGAAGTTCATTGACCATATATTGACTCAATACTATGGACAAATTGTACCATTATTTAAAAATCAAAAATACAGAAATTTTTAGAATTTGGACAGCATGGACAAATGTAAGGATAGGAAGTTCACAACTCATTGTGCTTCAAATTCAACTGTTTCGATCAAAATCTAACCGTTCATTTGTGAGAAATAGCAACATGAATAGTAGACAACTTTTAAATACTATAAATTTTTCAAATTTACATCTTGAAGAATGTGAGATTTGTCAACTATTCAAAATTGTTTCAAATTTAAATAAGTACATACTTTAATTTTTTGATTTAATTTGCACTCTTGGAGCAGCAGAATTTTTGATTTAATTTGTACTCTTGAAGCAGTAGAACTAGAAATTATATTTGTACTAAATGAATATGGTACCGATGTTTTAGAAGAAACACAACTCACCTTATACAAATACTGTAGAAAGAATTATCTGCTTTGAAGATCATGCCATTACTATTTCAATATTTCAGACGAATATTAATATATTGCTCCAGACGAAGCAAAAACAAAAAAACAAAAAAATACATATTAGTAAGAATACCGTATTGTATTCATGAAGAAGGTCAAATTTACACATATTAATATTTTAGAAGCATATTATGATTAATTTAAATGTATCAATATTCTGGAAGAATATTGTTGTGATACTATAAAAGAGTAATACTACATTGTATTGGAGAATGAAATTTTACTATTAATAGCAATTTATTCTCTACTAAATTAAAAAGAAACATATCAAGTTTTTAAAATGTGTGGTACAATTCAAAAAAAAAAAATACTATATTGAATAAGTTTGATTTGATTTTATTGTTTGGCATAATCTGAATCAATAATGATAAGGAATTAAAAATTCAAATGGACGTTCAACGAAAAACCTGAAGATTTTTCAATCCAATGAATTCTTATATGTTATTTATTTTCTTTATCGAAAATTGATAATTAAATATCACTAGATAAAATATGGACTGGATTTATTATATTTTTGAAAATTAATCGGGATGATAAATGGAGCACATCATCATCCACATTGATCACTGGGATGTAAAATAAAGAATGCTGAGAATAAATGGGTAGCTTGAACTCTTATACAATATCTCAAGCCATAACAGTGAAATTTTATAAAACAATTTGTTGATTGTCAATTTGATTGAACAATTCTCTTAGCATTAAAGAAAATGAGTTATGAAAATGGAAGTATTGCTCAAACAATTATCTAAATTCTCGTAAAAAATAATTCGAAACAAAGTTTCAAAGATAAATTATTTAGATGTTCTTACTGACCAAAGATATCAACAATAATTCACACACCAATTTTACATGTTCTAAGTCAAATTAATGTCCTGAATGACAACTAGTTAATTTTATATTTAATAAATTTATGGTACACCTGTAGCATGATGATATTCAATTTTAGCATAAAAATCCCCAAAGGAAAACAGAGCAATTAGCAAATATAGTTTCATAAAATGGTATATACTCTTGATAAGTATTTAAACAAAATAAATTATAAAACTACAAAAGAAATTCAGGTACCTGGTATGTTAAAAATTGAAATATCTCAATAAGTTTTGTTAGTATGAAAAAAGAAATAAAATCGAAAAGGAAATACTAGTGAAAACACTTTTCCACTTGATGTACTACACCATATAACGAAGAATCGAAATAAATGCTTTGAAATATATCGATTAAAGTGATGATTGTCCAAATTAAAAAATAATAATAAAAAAAAGGCGATCCTAAAATTGAATTTATTAGAAAAACTTGAAATTTCTAGACCTACAATAAAATAAAATAAAAATCTAACTATGTATAACTATACGAAAAGGAAATGAGAAAAATAAAACTGTAATGTGTAATACATGCTCTCAACGTAGTGTATTTCACAAAAATTATGGTGGATGAAATTACTAGTCTATATTATGTTATATTGACGATACATGAAATTTAAAATATGTTATATTCAACTCATTTGGCATGCTTATTACCGTTACCTTGAAAGAGTTAATATGAGTCATGAGTGAGAGTAAATACGAGTTATACTCTTTTTTCCTAGATCAATATTTTATCCCATGGATTTTCCTAGCAAGATTTTAACGAAACAACTTCTGTAGTGTATTTAAAAGAATAATGTATTATTTTTCTTTCATTAGGACTTTTCTTACACGTTTTTCTTAATAAGATTTTCATGAAGCATTTTCTTTGTGTATTGAATATCTATAACATTTACTCCCAAAATAATACTCATATATATGAGACTCTCAAAAAGATCAGTAGAGTTATATTTCAAATTATCAATTTACTACAATAGTCAAAAGTAGATAAATATCTCATACGAATACGGTATTATTTAAAGATTATACAAGCCAACATAAGACATATTTTACTAGAAATTGTTAAAGACATTAATATACAAGATAAGGATAAATTAATACAAGAATCGAAATTAATAGGGGTATATGTATTCCTTTTCCTTCAATCAAATTTTATCTCATTGAATTTTCTTGACAATATTTTAAGGAGAGCTTTTCATTACTTTAAATTATTTGTACACTTTTTTCATTTTTTGACATTTTTATCTCATAAATTGTTTTGCCAAACAATGCTTCAATGAGATAGTATCGTATAAATAGTCATTCAATGGGAAGTATTGAAAATATAAAAGTGTTTCCGAATGACAATTATGCCCCTACAACCTTAGTTATTATTATCGTTGTATCTCTTGTAGCACTACCTTTTCCCTATGGGACTTTGGTTCTTAATAAATACACGAGTTTATTAACTTCTCCATTTTGTTCTCTCTTTTTCTCTCCTCTCATAACAAAAACAAAATTTTAATTACCTATATATAACCTTTATATTTACTTATTGATTCAGTGTCAAACTACACACACTTCCAATTAATAAAAATGAAAGAGGTATTAGCAATATGAATGCAACTGTCAAGGCCTTCCAAAGCTTACAAAGCCAGAGTACACGTAGAAATGTCAAAATCGACTTATATTGTACATTCTGATCATAAACTTATATAGGAAATCAGCCAGTGATATCGAGTAAATGAATAATAAATTATCATTTGTATCAAGATTTGGTGAGTCTAATACCATACAACGATATAACAAACCCGGAAATCACGGGGAGTTCCTCAAAACCAGAATACTGTCTTTTCAATTTGTCGTACCGTGCGGTTTTGTTTCGTTAACCATCTCTAAACATTCTTTGGCTCTATGAACCTTTGACTGAAGATAAAAACTTCCATTGGCATTCCGCTCAAACAAGTTGTTGTACCTCTGAAAAAGATATCAAAGTTCAAGTAGACGGTGTTAGAACAACTGATAAATGATGATACAGACAATTTATCGTGAGCAATTTGTAAAATGAAATGAGGCAAACCTGCAAGATCTCTTCCCATGAAGAATTCTCTGTGACACCAAGAATTTGCCTTGCCTCAGCCTCGGTTATTTTACTTGATCTTCTGATGTTCTGCACTGCTTCTTGAGCAACTCCAGTCTTGGAGGCATCTGCATTTGTTCATGGAAGGTGTAAGTCAGGGAAACATGGACAAGACAATGTAGAGACGACATCAATTAGATTTTTAAAATTAAAAATATGAGTTCACTCAGCTGAATGTTGTATCAATCTGGGCAAGAAACAGTGTGTATAACACCCAAAAAATGAGAAAATACTATATTTTTCAGATGTGGTACTCTTGGCAATTTGACAAATAAAAAACTTGTGGCTACACGATCAACTTGCACTAAATGATAATTCTCACTTCTCCCCAGAAATTGGCTTTGAATATGGAGAAAGTGCAAAGCTCAATGAAGACATGCCACATGACAATGTGAAAAGAGCCTAGTCAATTAATAATATAATAACTACCGATAGATTAAATTATATGAAAATTCTAATAGAGAACTTACTCGCAAGTGCCTGACGATATGCTTGAAAAAGAGCTCTTGCCATTATTCCAGAGCCCATCACAAGCAAATTCGCAAGAATCCTCGCAGCCTGTAGAGACAAGTATAAAGAGCGTTCTCAATACTAACATTTCCAGCAGGATAAGGAGTTTCTAGTTCCAATCCAAGTAGAGAACTAATGCGGATATATAGGTTTATTTTTGTACTTCAAGTCTCCAATATAAACAAACATCCAAAATTTGAAAACATTGGGCAAGCTCTTTATGAATCGTCATATTTATCACAGCATATTCAAATGATGTGGTATTCAAAAAATTTGAGAAATTTGACCAAGTATATCTCGTACTTAAATCCTGACTTTCTGTGGCAGCTGCAACGCAGAGATTAGGTAATGCTCACAACTCTCACGTACAATACATGGTGCAAGACTAGCAAGGAATTAAGACCCCTATTTAGGCTACATTTTACCCAAAATGCATTTTTCTCTCTCCTTTATTTAACCATAGTACCACACATTCTCCAATAAAATACTATTACACGTAAACACAAAACTTTTCCTTCTTTTTTAACTACACATTCTTTAAAAAATAATAATAATAATAATAATATTCCAAAATACATTTTCTCCAAAAACACATTTTAATGGAGCCAAACAGGGTCTAAATGTATCCTTTAGAAGTTAATAGACCAAATTGAAACTTCTGAATTTAGGCAGTGAATCTGAAGTTAACTTCACGATCAACATAAAGTTAAAGTATAGAATATGGTGAACTCCGAACAAGTTGAAGTTTATAGGAGGTCAAAGGCAAGCAGCAAATTTCATACATTGAACATGGGACATTTCCAAATTAAGCACCCTTCATTTGTTTTACAGATGTCTCAGGCTAGAATATAATTTACAGCATCTGGAATCACAAGCTTCTTTGAAGTTGTATACCAGCTCAATGGAGTTTGTTCGCTGGTTCATTATCCTTTTTCAGACTTCAACACGTAATTTATGGACAACTCATGATAAGTCAAGATTATCCTTCTGATGTACACGCTAACATAAACTAATTGTATCTAATAAACTGGGAAAGAAATAGCATGCAAACTTTTTTTAAAAAAAATAAGGCTTGTTAGAGCCCCATTTTTTGTCATAAATGAATTTTGTAATAGTGATTTTTTGGAAAATGTGGTAACTAAAAAATACGAAAATATTTTTGATTTATGTGCAAAATTATTTTATTGGGAGAAAGTATCGTTGAAAATGAATTTTTAGAGAATGGGGCCTAAACAGGGGCAAAGATTGTTCCTAACAATGCATTCACCACTTGAGATTTAACAGTAAGAAATGTAAGGGAAATCAAAAGGAAGCAGATCATAGAAGGAAACCCAAACTCATTGACAGCCAAGATTCTCAATCCTTTATTACTCCCACATTTAAGGTGCACTTTGGTATTATAGAACTGAGCCCTGGAAACTGAATATCTAGTATTCAGTTAGAATTTAAATTTGAATTCAGTGAATTCCTGTTCTAGTGCTTCAACTTGGTTGTCACTAGTTTAATTGATTAAAACCAACTTCATTAACAAGGCATAAATGATAGTGACACAAGTAAAGATAATCAAACAATAGAAAATGAGAAACTGAATTTTGGGCTTGAACAACAACTAAGACAAAAAGATCATGGATAGGAAGGATCATGAACACTAATCTCCAATAAGCAATCTGCTATACACTTGCTATACTGCATTCCCACTTGTAAATTCATGCACGAACAGAATCTTCTTAACTATTTATTAGACGATTTCAGACCTCGGGATAATGAATTCAAAATTTTAGCAACTTTGACAACATGGCTATAAATTAATGTGTAATTTGTGGTAGGGGAACGTGAAAAAATTTTAATTGTCCATGATGCTGACTGATAATGTTTTCATCATCTTCATCAATTTATATTATATTTTCCAGTTGCATGTTCCTAGTAACGTGCTAGAGAATAGACCCTTGACTCAACTTGGAGAGAGACCATATATTACAAAGTGTACTATTGATAGGTGCATGATACCAGCAGTCACCAGTGTACTACCAAATAAGCCAAGGAGAACTACCCTATTCCAATCAAAGTCCTTTTAGTTTGCTCTGGGTCATAATAGAGTTTCCTAAAGTTCCCCTTAAGATAAAAAAAGGTTCATATTTAGGGGTGGGCATGATCCGGCTCCATGTAGGACCAAAACTCAGTGGGAATCTAAACATGGAACTAGCAACCATGTGGTAAGGTCAAAGAAAAGTGACCAGCTCCTTCTATTTGAGAGTTTAACAATTCATTTTAACTACTAGCACTGCTGTCACATGATTTTCAACGCTGCTTGAGCCTTGTTTTGAATGAATCCATGAATTTTATAACAATTGAAGAAACAGATTTCTTACATGGAAATAAGCCATTTAAACAAACAGATCCATTACATTATGAATACTAAATAAACAGTTATCTGTTATAGTTAGACAGTATGAAGTATAAAGAAGATCAGATTATTCAATCACAGCATACTGGGGGCACAACTTGGAAAGTGGTGGAAAGAAACCATTTACAAACTAAAAACATTAACAAAAAAATGAAGAAACTAATGAATATATTACAATTTTCGTCTGCAAGGAGAAGCTATATACAAACAGACCAAACTTGAAAAAGAACATATGCAATAGAACTTTAAGTCTGAAAATTTGTAAGACTCTAGCCGAGCATGATTTTTTTCCCCCAAAAAATTTTTTTAAAAAAAAATTAAAAGCATTCAGAATTTAACATAATCTAAAATTAAACAGCGAAGCTTAACAAGAACAAATATTATGTATCGAATTCTACCAAAAGTAACAAAACCACAGAGTAAATCCACACTCACCATAGGAATTTTGAGAAAACGGGACGAGCCGCGATTTGGCTTAGGGTTATCTATGTAAAATGGAGCAGCTTATAGAGAGAAACGAAATAAGTACTTGGGGGATTTGTTTGATAAAATAACCTATATCAATACTTTTTGTTCAAGCAATCCATAATATATTTGATTATATATATTAAAAGTCTTAAATACCCTTAAATTGAAATAACTAAAATGTCCAATTTGAAAATTAACAAAATCCCCAAATATAAATCCGTAAACCTCCTTCATTTCTTACGTTTCCAATCCAATTTTCATCATATTAAAACTATCTTCAAATCCAGCTTTTTTATATGCATTATTCTTACTTACAAATGATGATTACCTTTTGAAGTTTCTTTATTTGAACCAAGAACAAGTCAAAAAGTGCAAATTTGGAGGTGAGTTAGCAATAATCGATTTCACACAGTTGAAGGTATGCTTTATAAATTGAAAATTAACGATTTCTTGTTATTTTTTAGTTGTATACTATAAAAAAATCAATTGGGTAATCAAAATTTGCTGTGAAATATAAAAAACGGAATGGTGCCGTTTTTGCCCTTTTTCAATAGTTGGGTGCCCTTTTTTTCCTAACTAAGTGTCGTTTTAATACAACAATGCGGGTATTGGTATACTTGTTGGCAAATTAATCATTTCTCCATTCTTTTATAGCATTTTATTACTATAAACAAATTTAAACGGCACATACACATTTTAAACTATAAAATGTCGTTTTTTCTACTTAAATATATTATGTAACAATATGGGTTGATATTGAATCTATGATTTATAATATTCAGTTTTAACAATTAATGGAGCAATATATTATTATTATTTTATTTTGTTGAATTGCAGATATGGACTCTGGTGCAATGATTTTCATTTGTTATTTTGTTGAATTTGAAAAGAGTGATCAAAGTGGATATATTTGGAAATGGATAAGGAATGATGAAGACACCGCAACAAATATTTTTGTATCAAAAACTATCTCATATGCAGAGTTGTATGACAAAGTCCGAAAAGTAGTTAAGTTTGATCCCGTTATGTATGACATCGGGATGAAATTTCTCGTTCTTGGCATGGCAAAGTTATCAGTTCCGCCAATGAAGATTACTTGTGAATGGATATTAGTTGGTTTCTTTCTTTACATGACAAAGTTCTAATTTTTGTAACCGTTGTGGAAAAAGATTATGTTGATCAACAAAACATGGAGTTTGATACTGTAAATGTTCAGAAGAATCATGAATACAATTCAAACGTTGTTTTGGATAATGCAGAAGACATGGATGAATTGAATATGCAAAAAGATAAGTCCGATGACAATTATATGAGGCCGTTGTCTCCAATTAATCAAATTTGTGAAAACGATTGTGTGAAATTTATAAATGATGATTATAGGGATGGAACGGAAGTAGTGTATGGAAACTACATAGATGATTCTCCTGTGATAAAAGAAGACAATGTTACTCATAATGCACCTTTTATATTGATAGATGAGATTATTGGAATCTCACAAGTTGCTACTTTTCCGATACCTGTGGAACATCATTGAGATTCCTGATGTCGATGATGTGCACGTTAGCCAAATTTTACGCAACAAGAATGATCTTCAGGCATCACTATAAATGCTTGATGTAAGAAACTCTTTTGAATTTAATGTTACTAAGTCAAATGAGAGTACTTATGTAACAGTTTGTGTTGAGAAAATTTGCAAATGGCGTTTGCTGGCAACACGATTGAAGGAAAGTGATGAATTTGAAATTCAAAAGAAATCATGTTATTATAATTGTTCATTAGGCGTTCGCCACAAAGATCATAGACAAACTAATTGTTGGATAATTGGAAAACACATTATGTCAAAGTTTAAAGATCCCAACATTGAATACAGACCTTCAAAAATTGAAAATGATTGTTGGGAGTTTGGCATAGATATAAATTATTATAAGGTATGGATAGCTAGAGAATGTGCTACAGAGCTATTAAGAGATTCACCTGATTTTAGTTATGATAGATTGGTCAAGTATTGCAATATTCTGAAGAAGAATAATTCTGGTACAGTGACGTTCATTGAGGTTAATAATGAGAATCGGTTCAAATAATTTTTCATGACTTTAGGACCAAGCATACGTGGTTTTCACTCATCAATGAGACGAGTCATTTTTGTAGATGGAACACTTCTCAAATCCAAATTTCGAGGTATGTTACTTGTTGCCACGTGTCAAGATGCAAATCTTCAGATATATGATCTTGCATTTGGCATTGTTGATTCTAAAAATGATGCATCATAGACTCGATTTTTCAATAAGTTGTTTTCAGAGAACGGGTATGTTGGAAGGGCTTATTTTTATTTATAATCGCAAGAATAGCATTGGTAACGCCATAAAGATTGTTTATCCTTATGCACATCATAGATATTACGTGTGGTATCTACAACTAAACATAAAGTCCAATTATCATAGGACCAATATTTTGCAATTGTTTATGGCAACTGCAAATGAATATAGTTTGATTAATTTTGAAAAATCAATAGCAAAATCTATATCGTAAAAGTTCGACAATTGGAGAATACCTAGTTTTGAAAGTTGGGTATGAATTTTGGTTTCGAGCACATTTCAAAGGAATCCGTCACAATATTATGACAATTAACAATGCAGAATCTTTGAACTCGTTATTCAAGAATACTCGTGAGTTTCCAGCAGTTGCTATTATTGAGCAATTATGAAAAACTTTACAAAGATGGTTTTATGATAGACACATTGAGGCTGAAAAATGTGCAACTACTCTAATCCCATCTATTAAGGGTAAAATGCGTAAAAAGTATGATAATGCAAAAGTACTGATAGTGGTACCAATAAATGAGTACAAGTTACATGTTGATGTTGAGAAAGAAATGCATATCTCTAACTTGGAGGAATGAACCTGTACTTGTAGGAAATTTGATTTAAAAAAGTTTTCTTGTAAACATGCACTTACAATAGCAAAAATTAAAGGAATACAATATGTGCTCACCTTATTATACCAGTACTAATTGGAAACAAGCATATGTTGAATGTATATATCCAGTGACAAATGAGGCTGACAGGGAAATCTCCAATCAAACAAAGGTGTTACCGCCCCTTTCAAATCGACGAAAAAGTGGAAGTCCAAAAAATCATCGAATTCCAACAACATGAAAGGGAAAAAAGACTCGTAAATGTAGTACAAGTAATCAGAGGGGCCACAATCATTTAACTTGTAGAAATGCTCTACACTAGTTGATAGATGAATATAAATTTTTTTATTTAACTTAATCTTGAAATTGTGATAATTTATGATGATTTTTTATACATTATGATGTTGTCTGATAAAGTCTGATAGCTATTTCAAACAGATTTTTGACAAACAAGATAGCATCACTGTTTGTTCAGACCAAAATAGCATTTGATCGTTTTAGATGTGTGGATGCTATTTTTACTCATTTTGGTTCATTCACGTTTCTTATGTGGATGGATGTTAATTGTTCAATTTAATCTTTACATTGTGATGATTTTTTAAAAAATTCTAATAGCTTTTTCAGTCAATTTTTGATAAAAATGACAGCAGCAGTGTTTGTTTAGACCAAAACAGCATCTAGTCATTTTAAACGTATGGGCAACGTTTCTACTCATTTTGATACATTCGAGCCCGTAACACTTGAAAGTTGAAGGAAGAAGGTTCTAAGTACATTTCGATGTTACGAATGACACATTTGTCCAAACTATAGTGAGTCTTTCCAAAGTCGGGTGGAACCTACTATACTACATGTCACTTGACAATAAAGAACAACGTAAGTGGCAAGTGTGGTATGTAAAATATAGCATGCGTAGTCTTTCCACGTGTACAAGATGTGTATGACGTTTCAAACACCGTTTTATTAGTTTCGGAGTGAAATCAATACCTCCTAACCCAAAGCGGCATCTAGTCATTTTATACGTATGGGTGATGCTTCTACTCATTTCCTGTCCGTTTGGGTGCATTCAAGCCTGTAAACACTTCAAAGTTGAAGGACAACGATTCTAATTACATTTCGATGTTACGATCAACATAGTTGTCCAAACTATAGATAATCAAGTGAAACCTACTACACTACACGTCACTTGATAATAAAGAAAATTGTAAGTGGCAAGTGTGGTTTGCAAAATATAGCACGTATAGTCATTCAGACTTATATAAAATGTGTATGATGTTTCAAACACCGTTTTACTAGTTTCGGAGTAAAATCGATACCTCCTTACCCAAAATGGCATCTGGTCATTTTAAACGTATGGGCAATGTTTCTTCTCATTTCGTGTGCATTCCGGTGCATTCAAACCCATAATCACTTGAAAGTTGAAGGAAAAAGGTTCTAATTATATTTCGACGTTACGATCGACATAGTGGTCCTAACTATAGAAAGTCTCTCTATAGTCGGATGGAACCTACTACACTACACGTCACTTGACAATAAAGAAAAACGTAAGTGGCAAATGTGGTATGCAAAACAAAGCATGTGTAGTTGTTCTGACTTATACTAGATGTGTATGATGTTTCAAACACTATTTTACTAGTTTCGAAGTGACATCGATACCTCCTGACCCAAAATGACATCTGGTCATTTTAAACTATGGTTGTAGTTTAGGGTTTAAAGTTTAGGGTATAGGGTTTAAATGTCTGGTTAATTTTTCAACGTATAGTATTTTTATGATGTTTCATACATTATTTTACTAGTTTTGAAGTGAATTCGAGACTTCTTAACCCAAAATGGTATATTGGCATTTTACTCGTAGGGGTGTCATTTAAGGTATACAGTATACAAAAACATCGAATGTGTAATCATTTAGTATGTACAAGTGATATTGAGACCTCACTACCCAAAACATGTGATCATTTTGCAAGTATGACTACCATATAGGATATGCAAAACATAGCACTTTTCGAACAGAAATCACCCTTTACCTAAAATGGCAAAGGAACACTATAGTCGTATGGGTGCCATTTTTCTAATTCAGTGTTCAATTCTATTCATTTTTACTCATTGAGCCTAGACAAGTTATCTATGATGTTTCAAATCCTAATTTGCAATAAAGTCTAGACCCCGT